AAGTACTGGTTTAGTCACAAAATTAATAGAAGAGCCGAAGGCCTTTAAGCTTTCAAAAATATTTGGCCTTAGAGCTTAAACTGAGAGAAAACACAGCTAAATGCCTCAGCAGATTAGTCACTAATTTCCCCAAAAAGCCTTGTTAACATTCGTAGACCCTTCCCCAGGCTTTGAGAGTACACAATTTCCATGTTTAAATTGAGCAATGAACATACCTGTGGAGTCAGAAGGACAGATGTTCCATTGAGGAGACCATTTCAAACCAGCTTAGTGTATCCTTCTGAATCACCCTCCTGAGAGTGCTTCATCTCCCCACTAACTACAGAGCTCATAAACCAGCCATTTAACTTAGGCACCTAAATTAGGTCATGTAAATTTGTCACCCTCTGACCGAAACACTCTTGAAAAACAAACTTTCCTCATCAATTAGTCCATGTTAACCATTTAAGTGTATTCCAGATCAAATCTACCCCATGCAGCAGCAAAGAAGCACTTCTCTACCTGATGAAGTAGTGGTCAGATGTGCTGTCAGCCCACCAAAACGTTTGCAGCTCCAGCAAGAAGGAACTGGAGTTATTTCACACCCAAATCAGGCACAAGGCTGCTGGTGCACTGACAAAACAGTATCCCAGCCCAGCAGCTTCTTGTAGTTACACTGATACATCTCATGTCCAGAGCACTGCAAAGGCTGACTAAGCCTGACAATGCATTCCAAACAATTTGTCAACTCTGATTTTTTGGTTACATTTAAGACTAATCTTGCTTTACTGAATCTCCAAGTCTCAGTAAAACCTATCACTCTAACAAGGCACTAAAAACTGAATCATAAATGAATTGATTCATTCACTACTACAGCTCTTAATACTGACAGGCATCTGTGGGAAAAGGGCTGGTACTTGATGTACTAAGGATAAGCTATAATCAGTAAGTTAATCATTCAAATACAACAACCATGGTTTGTGAGACATTATATACCAGCTTTTAGTGCACATTAATTTTTTTTAGTTTATACTAAAATAATGATTTTTTGTTAAAGACAGTTATAATGCACACACCCTCATAAGATAAGACATAAGGTATTTGATCCTAAAATATGATATATGAAATAAGAATATAAAATGAGATGCAATTTTGCACCTTGAATTTGCTTTATTTCAGTGTGTGCAGATACTGAGTGGATGTCTCAAGTACCTACAGAGGCACACGTTTCAGAAGATGACTGACATCAGTGAGATTACATGACAATGCAGGAAGTAGCTTCAGACCCACACTTCCTAAAAATTATAAAATAAGCCTGAGGCACATCAGCAGTGAGCTAATGCCAGTGCCTCGCCCCAAGGGCTCACTTATATTTGTAATTTTTTAAGCAACTCAATCTGTGGTAATTGATTTAAATCAATTTTACACAGACATTGGGCAGAGCCCCAGTCATTGATTTCTCCTCTTGTTCCCGAGAAATTTAGCTGCTAGTTAACTTTTCATCTTTCAGAGTAGACTTTCAGGGCATGCCTGCTTACAGTGAGATTTTATAAATCCTTTATGATCGTTCACAAACCCAGCAATAGGAGTTCAGTACTTATAAGGACATAAAACTCAGTTATCAGACAATCATTAAACTGACTTTTTTTTCCTCCACAATCAATAATGGTAATCCAGAACAGTTTATACAGAAATAATTGTTTTAAGAGCACTACTTTCCTAACTCGCCATAGAAGCATCAAAGTCTGCAGCACACAACCAAGACCCAACCTTTACTTCTTTATGTGCTTATACTCCTCTGAATTACTTATGCACATTATCTTTCTCTGGTCACATTTATTTTCTTTTTGAATACAAAAGCCTTGAAAATGTCACAGTAGTGGAGCTTGACTGGCAAACATTGAATGATTTTAAAAATGGATTTAGTAACACAGTATAAAACTGTGGTCCTTAAGCCATGACCTACGGAGGGTTTTTTTTTTTATGAGACTTAGGCTTTGCTCAGGGTCACTAGAAATTGTTGTCACTATGACAGGAGTCTGTTGCCACTATGATCCCAATCAACAAGTGGAAAAATGGTGCATTTTCCAAAGTGCGTTATTTCTTAGTGTTGCCCTTGACAGCAAAAACAGGAGATGTTGGCTGTATATAATATAGAATTCCTTTGATGTGTGGAGTCACAGAATCTGAAGAAGTTTGTTAGAGCTTCAAATTGTAAACTTCTAACTTAAAATTCTTACATAACAGTCCAGAAACCAGGAAAAACACCTGATATTCTATCAAGACTTCTTATAAATCCACATAATCACTTAAGGTTTCCATATGTCTACATATGGATCAATTGCAGCATCAACAGCCACAGTGAATGCATGCTTTCTAGCCAGCTTGGATACCAGTAACAACAAATTCTGGCTGCTAGCCAATTACAGGGTGCAGCCCATTCTTGAGGCTGCTGTCACCATTTCACCTGTAATGGTAGCTAAATGGTAGGTGAGTATTTCTATGTCTGCTGCAAAAAACAGTTTTGGCTTCACTGGCACCCTGATGTGCCTGTGGGGTATAATGTTCCATTACAACCTTGTAGATGTGCCTGCATTGTCTGTTGGACCTTTCATGGCAGTTTACTTTTATTGAACTCAATGCACACAGAATGACATCGATACCACCGCACATCATCTTAAACTATACATAACACAACTGAAGCACATACACAGTGTGATTATCCATACACTTTGAGACTTCCTATTAATATTTAGTTCAGTGCAATAAGACATTTTGGTCTTGACAGAAAAAAGTCAGCATCAATATCTGGCAGTAGAAGCATTTCAATAGACAAGGCTGCCAGACCTGATCCTTATCATGTCCCGGCTTAGAAACATGATTCTTCCACCAGTGTATACTGATGCACTGATAGAACCACATCTGCTTTTTACCACAACCTCATCACATCCATTTACTCACTCAATTCAAGCTTAGTGCAACTTCTGTCACTCAGTCTGCCTAAATGCTGTTAATATATCTTCATATAGCTTTGCATTTTTCCTGCCTTCATGTTCATCATTTTATGCACTCCAATTTTATGATCCTTCCTCCCTTGAATTCATGGCTTCTTTTCTACTTTTGTCCCTTCTGCCAAACGCTGAACAGAGACTCATTTTAATCTACAGAAATTGTGCAATTTGTTTCATTAACTTCATTCATTTTCATTTGGCAGTTTGTAAAGGCGCTGGGACAGAAACAAGGCCCCAGCCATGCTAATCATTATGCAAACCAGCCACAGAAAGACAAACCCTATCCTCAGGAGACTACAGGCTACATTTAAAATAAACAGAAATTAAAGGGTGATCAACAAAGATCGGGTTGGAGAAAAGTTATACAGCAAACATTTTTCTGTTCAATGAACATGTTTCACCCTGCATCTACATGCCTACTGCTAACAGCATTCCCATTCAGGGGTTACTTGTGGTATCCTATTTCTGTTCACCATTAGAACAACATACAAATGTTCTATTTACTTATTTTTACAAGCACATGCAGCTCCTTTGAACATGTAAATAACATTGACAAAGAGCTGGTTATATATCATTTTTAAGACCCCCTCCCCCCATGTTTGAAGTGGTTGGGTTGGACGGGTTAGAGGTTACCTCCTCAGTTTGTTATTACAGTGAAACTTCGAGAGGTGTTAACAAGTCGTACACCGAGGTTCGTTTCCCCTGTTTCGCATAAGGACTACTGCAGATTCCAAGGGACTAAAATATGACTTTTAACATTTTCATGCTAATTGCCTGCCATAAGCAACACCTGATGGAAAGCAGGGCGGGTTTCAGTAAGCATTAATCTCCCCGAAGTTTTGGAAGAGGAAATCTTCCATTTTCTCCCCATCCTTTACAGAAGTCTGAATTTAACATAACAAAAAGCCTGCTGGGCTAAGCTATTAGATCTCAATGTCCCATTAGCTCAAGGAGTAGTCTCTTTGTATAAATTGGTAATTTCTTGTAAGCTCCGAATTTAACGCCATTCTTCTACGCCAGGGCACAGCAGCACTAGGAAAACGAACTGCAGCTAACTGAACTGTCCGTACAGCACAATTAAAATCACAACCGTATGAGGTAACTGCACAAGCCGCGCTGTTTTATAGTGGGAACGGCAACAGCTCTGTCTTCTCCTGCCTTTTGAAACATAGTAGCACTGCCTCTCTTAAATACGGAAACTAAAATCAATAAAAAGAAGGTCTGACAATATGTATCCCTTCATCCCGCCAACCCCGAGGGCTAACCTGAAGCCTTTTGCTCACAACATCACACTGGGGATGAACAAGTAGATTACTACAAGTGTAAGACATTACAGGAAACCAGCATTAGAACAGATGAGCATGGCTCTAATAAGCAGAACAGCTCTGTGCAGGCAGAGTACGGGTTGGCCTACTGTTGAAATACAGCTGGAGTACCTCCAAGCACAGTCAAGTTCTTTGCGTAGGAGAGTAATGTGAAAACAGTTCTGGTGTTACATATGAGCTATCTTCACCAATATGCTTTTTAATCTGCACTAGGACTCAGCTGAATAAGGTAAAAAGTTTCTGATGTATCATACAGCGACACAATTGCAGAGGACAAAGGAAATGAGAGGAAAAAACAGCACAGCCCTCCTTATATTTGTCTGAACATTTTTATTTTTATACCTGTAACACCGGGTTCTTTCAAGATAAGAACTCCTCCTGCATCATTTGCAACTTCTGCAAATCTTTCAGTGCCACTACTGCATTCTGCTAGGTGGAACATACTGAAATCCTTGCTCAGGAACAGCTCTGAAATTCAGGTAATTCAGTAGTGACAAATCTTGCTATTCTCCAGAATTCTGAGAAATAACACATTCAGCCTTGAAGGCTCTTGGACAGTTACCATCTCTCAAAGTAGCATAGCCTCAGGATACAGGTCACATATCTTACAACGTTGGCCAAACAAAATTGTTTCAAAATGACCTAGGCAGTAATACCAATAGTAGGTAGTTTTATGAAAGCTTACCACATCTGATTTCTTAAAAACCACAGATCGTATGTCGAATCCATCTGCTGTTTCTCTGTGATACTGACTGACAAAGCTGTGAGCATGCCTGGGAAAAATAATTAAGAAAAAATTAAAACCAGTATCTACTATTCGTTCCCTCAGTAAATACATTCTATCCTACAAAATCACACTACCAAACCAGCAATATAACAGATATGATGGGAAAACATAAAAAATAAAGTGATTTTACCTATATTTTTATAGCACTTAACTATATTAAGTAATATTAACTATATTTGCAATGTATGCCTCCAGAAATACATCTAGTTTTTTTCCTGATGTTCCTATATGTTTTTTTTTTTATACACTTTACACCACTATGTGAAGCAAAGCACTACCAGATACAAACGGGGCAGAGTTCATACATGTTACATGTGTCAAACCACTGCGTTCAGGCCAACAGAGTGCTTTAATACTTACTCTCTACTAAAATCCTACAGCCAGCAGATTGCAGGACCACACGTGAGTAGCAATGAACTAGCTGTTGCACATCTCTGCTTTGCTGTTAAATGCTCCAAGTCTATTACTTAGAAAAGGGGCTCGCATTGCTGTAATCTGCATGCAGCCCTATTGTCCGCCAACAAAAAAAAGGTGAGCACACTACTGGGCCTTACATTTGATTAACGATTTTGCCTCATGCTTCTTATAAAAGTTTCATTGGTTTTGCACCCACTATTTATATGCTTTTAAGCAAAAGCACGGGGCATAGCTCATCTCCTACCCCTTCAAACCTGCCAGTAAGAAGTCACTAACTTGATCCAAAGGGGACATTTTGCTTTTAAAGAAAACTTTAGGGTTTGGACTTCTTATTTGCAGCAATTTTTGTGTGTCACTGAGCAACGTATCCCTGACACGAGCATGCGGAAGCAGAAGCACCCGCACTGATGGCAGCCCATCTCCTCAGCCGCTCCCACCTCCCATTCCTCCTCCTGGCGGTGCTCTCCTTCCTGCTCCTCAGAGGGAATCGGCTTCCAAAGACACGTGTAGCAACCTAAACCGTATCTCTCTCTCTCTTTTTTTTTTTTTTTTAATATATACATATATATTAATTATTTCTTTGCTGAAGGAGTGCATGATTTCCTACCTGGGAGAAGCAAATCCCCAAGTACCAAGTACAACACCAAGTACCGATCCCACGGGGAGAAAACCACTGACTCAGAACGTCCAACAGGAAAACGTAAACTCTTTTTTTTTTTTCCCTCTCTTTTCCCCCCACCTGCTTTTCACCTTTACCCCAAACACGCAATTAACGCAAATTTCATCTCTGATTTACTTTACAGAACACAACGAGCTCCCTGTCAGCCCTGCGTTTTTCCCCCTTCCCGCGAGGCGCCCCTTTACCGCCGGTTTCCCCCTCAGCCCCTCCCCTGGTACGGTCCCCCAGCAGGGGGCCGGAGGAACTCCCCCGAGGCCGCCCTCGTGCCCCGCCATCTTCCCCTGCGCCCCCTCCCGGCCGCCCGCAGCGCGCATGCCGGCCGCCGCCGCGCGCCCCGCTGACAGACGTCAGCTCCCGCCAATGATCGCCCTCCTCTGGGAGCGGCTCCTCCCTCAGCCAATGAAACGCTGGAGCTGCCGCAGAGGCCCGGCCCCTCTCGTCTGTAAGGACCTGTGAAGCGCTAAGCCACGCCCCTTCTTCCTCTTCCCGACTCTCCATTGAATGAAGTCCTCGCTGACCAACGGGAAGTTCCCACTGGGCTTGACTGACAGCTTCGCTCTCCATTAGAAGTAGAAAGCTCCGTCGCGCCCACCAATAGGCTGCCGGATGCGAGCCTAGGGGGCGGGCTCTCCCTCCCAGGCGGGCGGGGAAGGCCGTGGTTATCGATCCCGCTGCTGGAGGGAGGCGGCGGAGAAGCAGCAGAGAAAATGGCGGCCATGGCTGCGGAGGCGGCAGCGACTGCAGCGGTGCCGGGCGATGGGGGGGCGGGCGAAGCCGAGCCCGAGATGGAGCCCATCCCGGGCAGCGAGGCCGGCGCGGACCCTCCTCCTGCCGTCACCGAGGCCGTGGAGTCGGCGGTGCCCGACGGGGAGGAGGCCGACGGGGGAAAGGGAGCTCCCGGCGAGGCCGAGGAGCCGCCGCCCGTGCAGCTCGCCCGGAGCCCGGCCGGGACGCGGGAGCCGGAAGGCGAAAGGACGGAGACGCCGCCGCCCTCCGGCCCGGAGGCGGGTTCGCCGCAGGCCGAGCTCCGGGGAGCGACCGGCCCGGCGCCCGAGGAGCGGCCGCAGCCCTGCCCGCCGCCCGCCGCGCATCCCCCGCTGCCCGAGGAGCGGCCGCAGCCCTGCCCTACGGCTGCCGGGGGCTCCGCGAAGCGGGAGCCCGGGGAGGAGCCGTCCCGGCCGGAGGAGGAGGAGCCGGATGCTGCCGCCGCGGAGCCCGAGCGCCCGCCGCCCGCCGCCCCGAGCGGGGGGGAGGCGGAGGCGCCGCTGCTGCCCGGCTCCGAGGTGCGGGTCACCCTGGATCACATCATCGAGGACGCCCTGGTGGTCTCGTTCCGGCTGGGGGAGAAGCTGTTCTCCGGGGTCCTCATGGACCTCTCGAAAAGGTGAGCTCTCACGGGGAGCCGTGCCGAGCCCCCGTCCTCGGAGCGGCCTGAGGACGGCGGCCTCCGCTGCTTCCCTCCCTCCCATCCCGGGATCCGGGGGCGGAGGTGGCGCTGGCCGTGCCCGGCTTCGTGCCGCTGCGCCCGGCGGAAGCGCTCCCGAAGTGGGAGGGGAGGGCCGAGCACATGGGCGCTGCTTTCGGCTCGGGAGGGATTCCCGGCGCCCCCGGCAGCGCTGCGCATGGGATGGAGCTGCGAACCGCAGGTGCGGGCACGTGTGACGGCTTGGTGTCTCGCGTTGCCCGCGTAAGCTCGCATTTTTATACGTGCCGGAATGGTTTTCAGGCCTGAAGTAAGAGTGTTAGCGCTAATTGCTCCTTGCGTGCAGCGAATGAGGTGAAGTTTAATGGTTCTGAAGCACAGTAATAATTTTATTTTAGGGACTGTTATCACAAACCGACGTAAAGCCTTAATCGCGCTGGGTTTGGCTTTTTTCGTTGCCTTCCTATAGCAATGTTCTCTTGGGAGGCTCAGGTCATCAGTGAGAGCATATAGGTGTAAGGAGTAGGTGAAAATGCTCTGTTTCTCCATTAAACCTGTAAACGCTGTGCAGATATGTGGGGGAAAAATAAAACGCAGCCAGGGTTACTATTTAAAAAAAATCACAATGTGTAAAACATGTCTTTTTTCAAGATGCAGGCCACACGTACTTTTGTCTTTTATCACTGTGGTTTACATTGCTACCATCTGTTTAATAACTTCCTGTTATATCAAATTCACAATGTCTTGTGAAAGAAGGTGGCCAGAACCTTCATCCTAGGCCTAGCAGCTTGGTTGGCTTGTGAAACAGAATGTGTTTTCTGTATCTTAACTCCTGGATAATGCAGATGGAGTAAGCCTTACGTTTTTAAATTGTTATAATGCAGCTACAAATCTTTGAAAGCCAAGTACTAAAATACGATCTGCAAAATGTGTTCATCTTGAGTGTGACAGTGCCTTAAAGAATGTCAGGAGCAGTTAACAGATATTACCTAGCACTAAAACTTCTTTTGTAGGTTTGACTTCTGTACCAGCAAAATCTCATTATTAACCTACTTAGGAAAGTGACAAAGCACATGCTTCTGTACTCCTAAGGATCCGTGTTGAGAAGAAAAATGAAACATCAGCTTCTCCCTTTCTTGTAAAAGATATCTTTTTATGCATGTACTGCCTGCAAACATCCTCTCATTTGCCTGAGGTTTTCTCATGCCCTGATGATCCTTCTGTCAAGCAGCAGAGCTGCTGCAGCCCCATGCAGCAATAGGCATCTATAGGCAGGCAAACCCTGGCTCTTTTGCGCTGTGACTTGGGTGGAAGCTTGCATCTCAATTTCCCTTGTTTTAAGCACAGGCCCTGTGGGAAGCCTTCAACATAAGAACCAAGGACCCTTGGAAAAAGCACTGTGAAGGCCTGTGCCATTTCTCTCAGCTACTCTTGTGCGGTTCATTTATTTCTTCTTCTCCATCTGTATAATCTTGGGCTTCCTGCAGGGGCACTTGTTACACTGGGATCTAGAAGGTAAAATTAGACCTTTAAATCAAAACCACCTCAGATTCAGCATAAGTTTACATGGAAGCAATGGGATTTCTGGTATAGAAGAGAGTGGATATGGAAAACCGTCTCTCTCTTGTTCATCCAAGTGAACAAGAGTAATTTTATAAACCTTCCTGATGCAAATTTTGTTTGCTGTAGTTTGGTGTCTTAAGGCCCCTTTAGAAGAGTTCTCTGTTTTAAAAGAGTTTGAATTTTTTATTGAAATCACTTTTTGAAATTAAGGAATGAGTGGATGTATTCTCTGCGTGTGCTGATACTGTTTTTCTTGTACGTTCAGAAGAAAATAATTCTTTCTTGAATCTTAATTTCTGCTTTCCTCTGAAGGGCAATGAAGCTGATCCTTCTATTCAATAATGAGAAGAGTGAGTTTTAACGAACACTTAAACAGTGAACACAGAAACCTGTCTGCTGGACCCTTGTCTTGTCAAGGCATGCTCTAAATTAGTTTAACTTCAAGGTCAAGGAAAAGAAAAAATATCCCCATTAATTCTATCTTCATTATTAAGATGATGTTTTGACTTTGCATTTTATGTTTGTGGACTTCAGTATGAAGTTAATGATGTTAGAGATCTTATTTCCTTCTGTTCCTCCTGCCTGCTGTAAGTAGGATGTCCATTTAGGTGTTTGTAAAACAAGAGTACAAGAACCTCAGTGTTCATTGGACATTATTCCCCCATTTCCTTGAGGTAAGGAAGTATTTCTGCCCTTACTGATGGCAGTGGGGTACACTGAAGATCAGCCTGTCAGCAGCTGCACTGGAGGTTCTGAAGATAGGGAGCCACGTCTACCGAGTTCTGAATCAGCATCTTATGCAGTAAATCTTTGAGTAGGACTTCTCACCCTTTTTTTTTTTTTTTTTTTACATTACAGGCTTATTGCACAAATTAAAAAATGTGATCCTACTGTTAAAACATAATGGCAGCAGTGGTAATAAAATCTAAGTGCCTTATTGGGTTCCTGGACGAGGTTCTGATGTGGCTCTGTGGTGTGACCCGATGGAGCTGATGGAAGAAGCAGGAAGTGCAGCCAACCATTGGGCAGGTGAAGGCAGTCGTGTCATTGTGCCCAAGTGCACGGGGGAAGGCTGTAGCCAATTTTCCATACCAACTACTCGTGAGGTATAGGGCTTTTAAGCTTGCCTGTATGCATCATTTGGCTAACACTGTTTGCTTAGGGTATATGAGATGTTAATGCCACCTGCTGGCTTAGAATTACTGTAAATCTTGCTCTGCACCTGGAGGAAATATACAGTGAGGAAATAACTACGGAAAGTAGCATTTGTAAAACTTTAAAATGTAGAGTTAAAAAGTTCTGGTTCTGGTTTGTTCCTTTGGAGAGACTTTCAATCCCGTACTGTTTTCTTCTTTTTTGTGCTGCCTTCAACTTTAAGTACTGGAGAAGAGGTAGGGAGGAATTACCTTTGTATTGGTGTTTTTTGTTTTTTTTTTTTTTGCCAACAGTCAGGACTTAGACTTCATATGGCGTTATCATTTAACTAAAATTTTGTTTCTAATCCTATGGATGTGAGGGACAGTTGCCTTCCTACTGCCTTTCTCTCTAAGCTATTTTGTGTGTGATTGTGGCAGCTCTTGGAGGAGGCAATGGGAGAAGAGCAGAGTTGTGTTGTGACCTCAGAGCCTTGTGTAGCTGAAAGGTGATGCCTTACTGCCAGTAATAGTTGTTGAAACTGGCATCTTAGTTGAGGTTTGACTGTAGAAAATGAGGAAAGACTTCCTGCAGCAAGATATGAATGAACTGTATGATAAAAACAAACTTCTTCAGATAAGCTCAGATTGTGATAATCCTAACAGTATTTTCATGTATAATGTTCTTTCCTGGAGTCTCTTGAATCCTATGCTTTTTCTAATATAGTAAGATTAGCAAAATAGTAAGGTTAAATGAACTGTTGCATCCATTCCCAGATTTCTTTTAATCTGCAGAGCATCTATTATATTTTTGAATTGCTTACGTTTAGCACTTCTTGAAACTTGTCTACATATGCTGAGATTTTGTTATACTTTGCAGGGTGCAAAGTTTTGGTGTATTGTGACTGTATGCACCAAGGCAAGGGGAGGGCAAAAAAAAGTACTCTGAGTTGCAAAAGGCTGAAGGTCTGCTGGTGTGAGGAAGAAGCAGCAAGAATCTTGCATGAAAAATTGAGGCTCATTTCTCGTTGCTTTAGGTTCTCTTTTACTAACTGATAAATTTATTTAATAAATGGAGACATTTGATGTTCCTTGTCCAGGGGAGGTTTAAGTTCAATGGAAGTGGTGGTATTCTACAGTATACATTCACAGCAGTAAAGAAATAACTGTGTTACTTGGGGTTGTGTGCTGGTTGAGTTTTGCCTTTTTCCCAGTTTGCAAAGTGTTCATAAATTCATAGCCTGTTCTCCTGTTGTTTCTCAGATGTGTAAAGAAGCTTGGTGGAATGCTAGCATTTAAGAAAAAGCCATAATGCTGCTATGCTGTTTTTTTTTTTTTCCTAGAACACTGGAAACATAGGTCTGATGTGAGTGTGTGTGGTTAAGACAGTAAATCACATATAGTTTGTGACTGACAAGTGACATTGAAAGGTAGAGTGTCAAACTTGGTTAGCCTCACTTAGAGCACAAGGTTGGATCAGAGAATCTTGTGACGCTGCTTCCAAGCTAAATTTTTCTGTGATTCTAATTAGTTTCAGCTTCTATATGTGAAAATAGTTTCTCCTGTATTTTTGTTTACATCCAAAGCTTCACCAGGTTTTATTTGTTGTCACTTATCAAATGCCTTTTTGAAAGGCTTTCTCATTCCAAGTTTCCTCTTGTAAAAATGGCTGGCAAAACTGGAGTGGCTCTAAAGCTTTTCTAGTATAGGTGTAAAGCATGTTACAGCTGCTGCTTACACTGAGCAGACATACTTGTCAAACTGCTGCTGGTTTTGAGCCAGTACAAGGAACGCGTTTTCCATCCATCCCCTTCTGAAACCAGTAATAATCCCTAATCTTGCTGCTGTATGGGGTGTCTGTGTGGATTGTGCCTCAAACTTCCCTTTCCTAAAGTAGTGTAGTCTACTACTGTTCTTTGCTGGACTTTGATTCAATGGATGATGGCTAAACTGTGCTTTCTTCTTATGGCATGCTTGTCTGTCTTCCAGCAGCATGGGTTACTGTTTTTTGAGGGGAGCTTAACTTGACTTAGCTTGAAGTGTTGGAAGACAAAGGACTGAAGTGAAGTTTTCAGTATGCATGAAATGATTTTTTTCCTTTATGATTCTATAGGGCTGATTAATCTGATACATCTTGCCACTGAGTTGACTTAAAGCTCATCCATTAATGAATGATGTCCTCTTCAAGTTTCTGGGGATTTGACTGTTATTTGGGTGATCTGGAATGTATATTCAAGACATCTTAAACAATTTTGTAGCTTTGTA